TTTTTTTTTTTCAGTTTCTTTTTTTTTTTTTTTTGTCTTTTTCCGTGTCCGGCAACAGATCGCAACCCTCAGTGTTGCCCCCGCACCGGACTGGGGACCGGCAACGGGATCGCAACCCTCGGCATTGCTCCCGCGCCTCGCTCAGCCAGTGAGCGGGAACCGGTCTGTATGTGGGATCCGAACCCTCGGGCGGGAGCGCCGCCACGCTTCTCAAGCGGCGCACTATCCAGTGCGCCACCGGGCCGGCCCAAAGCTTTCAGTTTCTCACCATTGAGATTGATGTCAGCTGTGGGTTTTTCATATATGGTCTTTATTAGGTTGAGGTATTTTGCTTCTCTTCTTAGTTTGTTGAGTGTTTTTATCATGAAGGGGTATTGAATTATGTCAAATGCTTTTTCTGTATCAATTGAGATGATTGTGTGGTTTTTGTCCTTCATTCTGTTAATGTGTTATGTTACATAGATTGATTTTCACGTGTTGGGACATCCTTGCATTCCAAAAATAAGTCTCACTTGGTCATGGTGTAAAATTCCTTTAATGTGCTATTGAATTTGGTTTGCTACTATATTGCCAAGTATTTTTCCATCAATGTTTACAAGGGATATTGGTCTGTAGTTTTCTTGTGTCTTTACCTTGTTTTGGTATTAGGGTAATGCTAGCCTCGTAGATTGGAAGTATTCCCTCCTCATTAATTTTTTGGAAGACTTTCAGGAGGATTGGTGTTTATTCTTTAAATGTTTGGTAGACTTCTCCAGTGATGCCATCTGGTCCTGGGCTTTTCTTTGTGGGAGATTTTTTATTACTGATTTAACTTATTTTACTTTTTTGGTGGCTGGCTGGCATGGGGATCCAAACCCATGACCTTGGTGTTGTAAGGCTATGCTCTAACCAACAGGCTAATCAACCAGCCTTGTTCAACTTCTTACTCATTAATCTGGCAGATTTTCTATTTCTTCATGATTCAGTCTTGGTAGGTTGTTTGTTTCTAGAATTTTATCCATTTCATGTAGGTTTTTCAATTTGTTGGCATACAATTCTTCCAGCTTCTTACAAGGATACTCGTGATGACATTTAAAGCCCACCAGGATAATTTCCCTATCTCAAGGCCCTTAATTTGATCACATTTGCAAAGACCCCTTTTCCATATAAGGTGACTGTTATGGGATGTATCTTTTCTCCCCCAAATTCTTATGTTGAAGTTGAAGTCCTTACTCCAGGACCTCAGAATGCAACTGTATTTGGAGATAGGGTCTTTAAAGAGGTAATTAAATTAAAATGAGGTCATTAGGGTGGGCTGTAATCCAAAACGATAGGTGTCCTTATGAGAAGAGAAGATTAGAACATAACACATACAGAGGGAAAACCATGTGAAGACACAGGGAGAAGATGGCTGTCTGCAAGCCAAGAAGAGAGTCCTCAGAGGAAACCAACCCTGCTGACATCTTGATCTTGAACTTATAGCCTCCAGAATTGTGAGAAAAGAAATTTGTTTAAGCTACCTATTCTCTGGAGTTTTGTTACAGAAGCTCTAGGAAACGAATACAGTGACATTCACAGGTTTGAAGGATTTGGACCTAGATATCTTTGGGGTCATTATCAACCTAGCACATTCCCTTCCTATCTTTCTGCTAGAGTGAGTGACTATTGAAAGCAGGAATTTATTTTGTTCTTAAACCTGTGCCCATCCTTAGGGAGTTTACAGTCTGATGTGGGGAGTAAAACGATAAACACAGAGGCAAAATATACTCTGCCACATGGTGGCAGGTGCTCTGGAGAAAAAGAAGGCAGGGACAGGTGAGAGTGCTGAGCAGGGGAGGAGGGTACAGTTTGTGATTTTAGAAAGGGGTCAGGGAAGGGCCTTTTGAGAAGGTGACATTTGAGTCAAGACCTGAAGCAGGTGGGGGAGCCGGGAGCACTGACAGCTGAGGGAGGAGCATTCTGGGCAGGCTCTCAGCAGGTGTGAAGGCCAGCAGGGAGGTGACCTGCTTTGTTCAAGGAAAAGGGTCAGGGTGACTGCACAGCATGGTGAAGTGTCCAGCAGGTGGATGTAAGGTCAGAACAGCTGGTGCAACCTGGGCAGGAGCTCCTCAGCCATTGAAAGGCTTCTGGCTTTAACTATGAGTGAGACGGGAGCCACTGCAGGATTTTGAGCAGATGCACGACATAAGCTGGCTTATGTTTTGGAAGGATTGTTTTGGCTACTGGGTGGAGAGAAGGCTGAGGTGGAACCAGGGAAGAACCAGGGAGCTCAGGTAGGGAGGAGCTTCAGTAATCCAGGCAAGAGATGCTAGTGGACCATGGCATGGCTCTAGAGGCAGTGAGAAGTGGTTGGACTCTGGGTGTACCTGAAGGTAGTGCTGTGGGATTTTCTCTTGAGTCTACAGTGGGGAGCAAGAGAAGAGCAGAGTCTGAGATGGCTCCAGAGTTGCAGGCCTGAGCCACTGGAAAAGTGGGGCTGCCATTTACTAAGATGGGAATGGTGGGGAGGGGAGCAGTTTTGGCGGGGGGGGGGCAGTCCATGCTTCTAGGCCATGCCTAGGAGACTTGCAGGTGGAGATGTTAGAATTGACTTTAGATGTGCAAGTCCTGAGCTCAGGAGTAAGGTCCATGCTGGAGCTGTCAATCTGGGAGCCTCCACTGCATAGATGGCATTCAAAACTATGAGCTATGAGAAACCTAGGCAGGGAGTTCCCAGGACTGAATGCTGGAACTTGCCAACTTTCAGAGGCCAGAGAACCGAGGAGGAACCAGCAAAGGACATTTTTGTGGAATGAAGAGATGGATGGATGGATGGATGGACGGATGGACAGATGAATGGAGGGATGGATGGGTGGATGGAGGGATGGATGGATGGATGGATGGCTGAGTGGATGGGTGGATGGATGGATGAGTGGATGGAGGGATGGATGGATGGATGGATGAGTGGATAGAGGGATGGATGGAGACATGGATGGATGGAGGGATAGATGAATGGAGGGGTTGATGGGGGATGGAGGGATAGATGGATGAATGGATGGATGGATGGATGGGGGTGGATGGATGAATGGATAGAGGGATGGATGGAGACATGGATGGATGGAGAGATGGATGGAGGGATGGATGGATGGATGGATGTGTGGATGGAGGGGTGGATGATGGACGGGTATCCTTTGCCACTACTCTTGATCAGACTGTGTCACCCCTCACTGGACTGAGACAGTGGCCGCCTTGTGGGTCTCCATGAACCACACCCCTCACTCCCTCCTGATCCATCCTCCATGTTTTCTCAGTTCAACCCCTTTCCACCAGGCACTCCAGCTGTCCTTCCCCCTTCCTGAAAGGCCTGACCCTCCTCTTTGCTCTGTTCTTTGCCTGGTAAACTGCTTTTTTCCCTCATTATCTTCTGGAAAGCCCTCCCTGAGCATCACCCCCCACCTACTTTCTCTTTTCATCTCAGCTCCTCCTGGCACCGTGAGGGTCCTTGCCTACACCTGCATGAATACTCCAGTCTGCATGGTGAGCTCCATCCACATTCCTGACACATAGCTCCCTGGCCACCCTCCTGGCTTAGGGATGTGCACACTGGCAATGGGGGCTGCTCTCAGGAGGACAGGCATGGCCTCAGGGGCATGTAGGCTCCAGGTGGGCATGTTCCCAGGCCCTGTGGATTTCTGGCCCCAAGGAGGGTGGGGTGGGCTCTGAGAATAGGTGCATCTAAGGCTGGGCTGAGTCTGCTGGTGCCACCTGCAGTTGTCATTTCTTACATTCATAAAGAAGTGAAATGGCACCGTACACGGACCGTGCGTGAGGGTGGGCCTTCCTTAGGGGACCTGTCTTCTGAGTTTTCTTTGGTGGGCCGTTCCTCCCCTCTCTACATGGCTGTTCACCAAAGCCAGGGGTTTGGTCTGGACAGAATGGTCAGCTTCATTTCCTCCACCTTCTGGCTGCACCCTCAGCATTCAGAAGCTGTGTTCAAGGACTTGGGCCTATGGGGCAAGTGCAGGGACAGGTGCAGCAGGGGGGTGAGCCCACCTCCACGGAAGAGACTGCAAGACCCTGCTTCCTCTGCGAAGGGGCTTTCATTGTTAAAGGATAAGCTGAACTTGGAGAAGGAGTGACACCCTAGAAGCCAGCAGCAGGCAAATTTTGAAGGGACCAAGTAAAGGGAAAAAGTAAATTTCGACACCCCAGAAGCCAGCAGCAGGTGCCCAAATACACTGTGGTTGTTGGAAATTCCCCAAAGTGGAGTCCTGTTCCCCACCAGGCCTGGAGTCAAAGGCAAATGGAAGTGTACAAAGGAGACCGGGACACAGTTTCCTTTAAAAGGTTTTCATTTATTAGTCTTTTCTGAAGCAGTTAATTCTCTTCTCTTATTTTAAAAAAAAAAATTGTGTGTTTCATCCAGAGTTATACCAAAGTGATAAAAATGATTTTCTACTGGGGATACAGCTTCCCAGATCAGAAAAAAAAATTTTTTTTCCAATTAACCACAAAAATAAAACCAAAAGGGAACATCAACAATCAAAAATAATCCCCAAATATCCAGGACAAAAAATAAAATATTTATTGATCTATCACAGCGAGACACAAAGAGATGGGCGGGGAGGGTGGGAAATGCTCCAAAGTACAGTGGCTCGAGGGTGGGACCGGGGATACAGTACTGCATGTGGGGAGACCCAGGTGGGGGAGAAGATTCCTGCTGCCCCGGCCCTCACAGCCCGTCACACCCTGGGCTAGCATAGGGGTGTGTGTGGTGGGGGTGGAGGCAGGGCACAGGCTGCCATGACAGGTTAAACAGGTTGGTGGTAGGTGTGCCCAGCCAGCTAGTGGTGCCGGGCGGTCAACTGGGGACAAGGATGGATGGACGGATGGATGGACAGATGGGCAGGTGGATTCCACAAGAGCAAGGGGGCTATTCCCAGTGTGTGTGTGTGTGGGGGGGGTCTTCTGACTGAAGGCACCCCAGACATGGGGAACAGCAATTGGTTGGGGAGAGTGGGGCCAAATGGGCCAAGGAGATAAGGGGCAGTGTGACCGAATCCAGCTTTGAGGCTTAAGGTGCTTGGGTACCAACTGGACCGCAGCCAGGGTGGGTCCTGGTGGGCAGGGGGAGGTGAGACTGCCCAGGAAGTGTCTGCACCATTTTTAGGGGAGCCCCAGGGAGGGGGTTCCCTGGGGGCTGCCCTTCCCTCCTCCCTCCCCCCAGGAAGAGGAGAGCACCAGCACGTAGCACCAAGTTCCCCTGGAGATGGAGACTGCGTGGAGGGGGGAGCTCCTGGGTGGGAAGGGGATGGGGGCAGGGGGCCGAGCCCACCCGCCCCTGCCTCTGAAGTAGGGGGCCTCCTGGTCGGGGCACTTGGACACCATTCTCTTGTTTCCTTGCCCTGTGGATTTCCGAGGCCGCCTGGCCTGCCTGTCCCTTCCTGGGGTAGGGATTAGGAGGGGCATGGGGTGGGGTCACAAAGGGTTTACATTCTCCACCAAGCAGTAGCACCAACGTTGATGAGGTCGCAAGTCAGGGGTCCCGGGAAGCTCACTTTCTCTTCCGGCCACAGGCTTTCCCCAGGCAGGCCCCACCTGGGCAGGGGGAGGCACACGGCGGTCAGTTCTTGGTTGCTGCTCAAGCCCTGCCCTCGCTGAGTAACTTGATCAGAGGCTCCGAGAAGCCACATGAGGCCCGGCCACGGCCCCAGGCCAAACTCTGGCCTGATCCATTGTTCAAACTCGCACTGGGCAGGTGGGGTGGGAGCAGGGCTCAGAGAGTGGAGGGGCTGGGTCATGGGGCCAGGCTGGAGAAAGACCAGGCCTGGACAAGTTCTCCACACTTCTGGGAAGCCTTTCAGGGAAGGGCTCAGGGCAGCCCCCATCAAGGAAGATGGGGTGAGGGGATAGTGTCTGGAGGAGATGGCCCTCGTAGGGAGTAGGGTGGATCCATAAAAGCAAGAGGGCATCGCATAAGTAAACTGGGGCCCAGAGACAGGAAGAGAGGGTCTTATCCACATAGTGGCTGAGCTGGGACCAGAACCCAAGTTTCCTGACCCTGCTTGGGGAGAGGCTGACTGATGAGCCTAGTTTTGAAGCATCAACACGTGGTAAGAAGGCCCCCCGGGTCTGGTGGTGGAGCCTGGGTCACGCCTGCCCCTGCTTGGGCCAGATGTGGCTCGTTACCGCCACCTGGTGGCAGTGAGCAGATGGCGTAGGGCAGAGCCAGGCAAGGGCCAGGCAAGGGGTGTTTGGAAAGCACCGGGATAGGAGTACAAGCATCAACTGGGCACCCCGGAAAGGGTCAGTCGTGTCTTGCCTAGGCCCCTCCCCACCTCTGGCCTCAGCTGCCTCATCTGTGTAGTGGGAAGCAGGTGGGGGTGGGAGGGAATTCACAGTCCTGAGTAACCACAGGGCCAGAGCTGCGGCTTCTTTAAGACTCCTTGGTGGGGGATGGACTTTGTGGGGGTGGTCCTCAGAACCCGCTCCGCACCCCCACCCCCAAGGCGTATCTGCATCTTTGAGCAAGGGTGTGGCTCAGCCCCAGAGGCTTGGACACCCTGACTCTATGGCTCTGGTTTTCCCGCTCATTCTCGCTCTCTTTTTCCAGTTTCCCCGGCAAGGTGGAGTGGCCAGCAGGCTAAGGCACTTGGGGAGGGATCTGCAGGTTTGGCTCAGGGTGAGCCTAGAGGGGCCCGGGCCCACTCACTACTCTGAGTATTGGAGGTAGAAGGGATAAGTGGGAGATATCCAACTTCCCCAACCTCCCCCTCCTGGTCAGGCCTGGCCTGGGCTAGTAGACCCTGTCCCTCTGCCTCTACTTGCCTCTCTCTGCTCCGCCTCTTGCAGGGACTGAGTCTCTACTCACCTTGGAATCCCAGGGCTTCTAGGGCCCCTCAGAAGGGCCCAGGAGGTTTTCCTTGGGGGTTGGGGAGGGGGCCGGGCTTCTCTGACTCTCCCAGCAACCCAGCCATGTACCTGCCCACAGCCTCCCTGCCCTCAGCCCAGACAGGACCAGGCCTAGACAAGGTCTCCACACTTCTGGGAAGCCTTTTGGTGAAGTGCTCAGGGCAGCCCCGGTCAAGGAAGTCTAGCCCCTCTTGTCTGGCCACGTTCCTCGCAGATGCAGATTGTATCCTGCCCATGGAGGCCCCAGCCCCGCCTTGGCCATCTGACTGCCCTAGGCTCCCCTCCCCTGCCCACCCATGTGAATGGACGTTGCTCTTCCCTTATGCGGTTTATTTCCCTTTCTATGGGGCCTTGTCGATCCCTCCAGTTAGACCCTAAGTCCCAGGGTGACCCAGATCCCTGTCTCGCTCCCACTGCTTAGGCCACTGCCAGGCTGGGAGCCCTGGGAATCGGGACCATTGGCCTCTGTCCCTCCATGACAGGGCTGAACTTTCAGCTTCTGTGATTCCCTTGGGAGTTCCCGCAAGCCCCTGCACCAGAAGACAAACCCAGAGCCATGGCCCCTCTAGCCACTCCCTCAATAGAACTCTACCCCACCCCATGAAATGAGCTCAGTCCCTGGGACCTGCTTGAAACAGGCACCCCCAGGCTTGAGGTGCCTTCATACCACAGACTCACCTCCAATTCCCAGGCCTCCGGCGCCACCTGCAAGGCAAGGAGAGGGGCTGTGAGACCCACCCTGGGGAGCCCACCAAGCCCTCCCAGACTGCACAGGCCCAGTCTGAGGCCGGAGTGGGGCGTGCGGTGTGAGAAAGGCCAAGTTCTGGGCATGGGCTCTGCCTTGGCTCACTGTGTGACCTTGGAGCAGTCCCTGACCCTCTGGGAACCTCATCTGGCACATGGTGGGAAAGCTTTGAGAGGTACAAAAGGTGTTCTAGAAAAGCTAACATTCCCTGTCCTCATAACGGAGGGAGACAAGGGTGGGGGTTCTGCCCTTGTGTCAGCTCGGGGTCTGGCCTCATGTGACCTGAGGTCATGGGGTCCGCCCCAGTGCTGGCTCAGCCTTCTGAGCAGGGGAGGAGGACGGACCAGAGCCCCAGGACAGGGCCCGGGGGTGGGAGCCCAGGTGTACCTGGGAAAATGGGAGACAATCCGAAGCCAGGTCTTGCTGCCGCTCCTGCAGGAGAGATTTAGGGTCAGCGGAGGCAGGCCCTATGCCATCCTGGTCACTTCTTGCTTGCACCAGCACTGGCTTCATCTGGGACCCCCTCCTCTTCAGTCCCCCCATGGTAGCTAGAGTGGCTTTCTCAACAACACAAGTCCCTGCCTAGCATGTGGGTGCAGCACCCCATGGCATCAGCTCTGAGCTCAGCCTGGCACTATCCCTGACACTGAGGCCTGCTCCTTTTCCCAGGATGTCTCCTGTCATGCAGCGTCCTCCCTGCCCTGTCTCATGTCCTTGTGTGGATGCAGGCTCCAGGAGTCCTGCTGCCTCCTTTAGACCCTGGCAGAGCTGAGGGCTACATAGCAGAGCCGGCCCCTACCTCCAATTGGTAATGGCCTGGCGGCCCCTAGGACACCTCCAAGGCCAGTAGCACTTGAGAAGAGGGCAACTGGTGTCAAGATAGGGCACTCCCATCTGGAAGGGGCTCTGATATCCCTTCTGGGATCTGGGGTCAGGGGGATATCCTAGACCGTCAGGGGTACTGTGAGCAGGATGGAGTGGGGTGAGCTGGGGCTGGGGGGTGCCAGCCACCAGCAGGCCTGCATGGGGGAAGGCATCAGGGGGCAACTCACCATATTTGGCCGCTTTAGCAGCTGCAGCTGGGGACACACCTGTGTAGAAGGGACACATGAGTGCTCAGGAATGCCCCTCCCTCCCAGAGCCAGGCCCCTCTTCCGACCCACCCACCACTTACCCATCTGCCCGTGACTCATGCTCTCATGCTCCACCCCTCCTTCATCCACCCGTTTCCCCAAAAGTCATTATCAAGTGCTGACAGTGTGACCAGTCTCATGGAGCACACAGGCAGAGCCTTGCAGGCCAGTTTAAGTAGAGAGACACAATGACGACCCAGCAGAGAGGGACCGTCGGCACAAGCCTGCCATGATGGTGGAGACTTTGGGAAAGTAATTTCTCTCTGAACTTTGATTTCCTTCTCTGGAAAATGGCATAACCATCATTATTCTATTTTTTTTTTTTGTCTTTTTTCCGTGTCCGGCAACGGATCGCAACCCTCAGTGTCGCCCCCGTACCGGACCGGGACCGGCAACGGGATCGCAACCCTCGGTGTTGCCCCCGCGCCTCGCTCAGCCAGTGAGCGGGAACCGGTCTGTATGTGGGATCCGAACCCTGGGCGGGAGCGCAGCCGCACTTCCCAAGCGGCGCACTAGCGCAGTGCGCCACCAGGCCGGCCCATAACCATCATTATTCTAATCAACCCCCAGTTGCAGTGGCTGGGCAGGCTGAAAGAGACAGAAGCGGGAGAGGACTGGGACCCCAGCTGCAAGGGCAGCCTCCACTCCTGCCTGCCTGAGCCCCTCTCTAAATGCTGCAGGAGCGCAGAGAGGAGCACAGGACCCATATGGCCTCGAGGAGCAGCCGGACTGCGGATAGTGGGCAGTTCGGGGGTAGAAGGGACAGCTTCAGCAAAGGGGTGGTGTCAGGGGTGGGAAAGAAAGTCTCTGTCTCTATCTCTCTCTCACACACACACAGCCCATGTGCTCGCTGATTCCAGAGCAGCCCTCACCTCCAAGGGCCCCAAGACCTGGGACACCAGCACCGATCCCAAGCCCTCCAACTCCCAATCCTCCAGCTCCGAGCCCAGCGACTCCCCCCAGGCCTGTGGAGAGAGCTGTGCATTAAACCCCAGCAGTCAGAAGAGTGGGAACAGAGTCTCTGTCTGTGGAGGAATGGAGGTGTCATCCCAGGACCCGGCCTGAGCCACCAGGGCCTTTGTGGGCACAGTGGGGCCAGGAGGTGGGCTGGGCCCTGAGGGGCTCTGGGGCAGGTCAGGGAATCTGACCCTACAGCACCGGGTCAGAGGGTCCCCACAAGCCCCGGGGGCCTGACAACAGCCACCACTCCCCACCAGTGCTCACCATACTGGGCAGCTTTGGCAGCCGCTTTGGCAGCAGCAGCTGCGGCAGCAGGTCCAACTCCTGGGGACACAGAGGGAGCTCAAGGAGGGACTCTCCACAGGCCAGTCTCCCTCCCCCTAGGCCTGTCTTGGGGTCCCAACTCACCTGCCACACCGCCGGGGATACCTACTCCACCAAGAGGCCCGACCCCTCCAAGGGCCCCAAGCCCTCCTGCTCCTGTGAAGAGAGGACAGATCAGTCCCCCATTTCTAAAGGATGGGTCTCCCTGCCCCTAGACAAGGCAAGCAGACAGGTGCAGAGGCCATGTGAGTCACAGGGAGGAGCACCGGACAGAAAGTCCTGAACACTTGGGTCTGAGGCCTGGGTCTGCCCTCACCAATCGGCTACAGGTGACCCCCGTTAGGTCTTGGCCTTCTCATTTATAGCATAGGACGGTGGCCCTTTCCTCCCTGGGCCAGTGCTAGGAGCTGCAGGTGGAGGAATGGGGTGGCCATGTGCTGCCGAGCATGGAGGACCACAGCTTCAGGTTCTGACAGTGCCAGGTTTGAATCGGTTTGAACCTTGGTTTCTCCACTCATTGTAGCTGTTGCCTCTCTGAAACTCAGAGTCCCCATCTCCCTAAAGGGGTTGATGACACCCTGTTCACCTTACAGGTGTTTGGAGAGTGAAAGGGCACACCACCAGAGAGCTCCGTGCAGTACCGCGTGGCTAAGGATTGTAGCAACCAACTTCACAGTCAGCGCGTAAAGGAACCCATGGTTCTAAGTGCTCACACTCATTAGCTTGGTTTTTATGCATCGCAGCAGGAAAATGGGCACTAATACCACCCCCATTTTGCAGATGAGAAAGCTGAGGCAGAGGAGAGGTTACGCAACATGCTCAAGGCTCCACGGGCAGGAAAAGGCTCAGGAGCCTGTGCCCTTAGCTGCTCTGCTACATGACACTGCTGTGTTTCCCTGGCGATGTCTGCTGACTCAGGCCAGCTGGGCAGCCAACAGGGAGCCCGGGAGGAGGCCGTGGCTTCCCGGGGCCCGTTGGGAGTGGGGGCTGAGGCAGCTGGGATTTTCCGAGGTGGAAACTGGCCCTAAGTGGATGAGCCAGGGCCAGTTGGCGGATTCCTGGTGGAACCCCCCCCCCAGGCCCAGATCCCAGGAGGCCAGGAATGTGGGGACCACAGACGGTGTGGATCTGGCCAGGCGAGGCTACCAGAGTGCCAAGTGGAGAGGCAGGCAGGTCTGCCACGTCCTCGAGGCTGGCCCATGGCGGATGCAGTCATGCTGACAGGAAGGCGGGCAGGGGGCTGGGGTGCCCAGATGAGGAATACCGACTCCTCGGCTTGGGCCAAAGGGCTGGCGAGGAGACAGAGCTGCCCAGCCTCCCCACACCAACAGCAGGCCTGGTCCCTCCCTGGTCCTGGAGCCCATGAAACTGCAAGGGCAGAGGGTCCTTAGGGACCGTGGTTCTCACCATGGTGGAATTGCCCCCCAGAGGTGTTTGGAAATGTGAGGGTGCTGTGGTTGTCACAGGGGTTTGAGGCACCATGGGCATTTAATGGGCTGGGACAGGTCTGTAAACCATCACTAATGTGTCCTAGAAACTGCTTTTTCTATCCTGGCCATCCCAGCTGTGCTGTCAGGGATGGTGGGGTGGCAAGGGAACCACAGGTGTGAGTGGGATGCACTCACCATATTTGGCTGCTTTAGCTGCGGCCAGGGGTCCTGGTACTATGGAAAAGGGAAAGGCGGGGGGTCAGCTGCTGAGCTCTGTGTCTGGGGTTCCTGCTACCTCCTCCAGGGAGCCCTCCCTGACTTCCTCAGCCTTTTTTGCTTCCTCAAAGCCCTGAAGCCGTGGCTCCAAGCCAGGAGCTCACGCTGCCAGGTACAGAGCTCCAGTGTCTAACCATGCCACTGCCAATCTTATCTAGGGGTGCTTGAGGGCTGATCTGCGTCTCCTCCTTGCACCCGCTGCCTCCTCTGGTCCCAGTATGGCCTGCCTGGGGCTGAGCACAGAGCAGGCTCCGTAAGCAGACGGTGAAGAACCGAAGTTCCCAGTGGTGCCCTTGCCACAGATACTGCTGAAGGGGACCTGAGCTGGCCTACCTGTGCCCGCTGACCCCAGGGACCTCCACCCTCCATCACTGGCTGGTGGGTAGGCTTTTTCTCAGTCTGGAGCTCTGTCACTCCTCCACTAAAAAGGCAGATATTCTGAAATCTGGCAGCCTGGGGTCTTCTTGCCTGGCCTGCCCCATCCCTCCATCTGTTACCCCAGTTGTCTCTGACTGCTCAGGGAAATCTAAGGGACAATTTACTATGCACCCCTGAGTGCCGAGGGGCGTGCTGGGGATGTGCTGGGAGGAGGAGGGGAGAAGGGAGGTCAGGGAGAAGTTTCTGCCTGGCCCCTTGAAGGCCCCTCACCTGCACCAACCCCTAAGCCAGGAACACCAGTGCCAACTCCAAGTCCGGGAACGCCGAGTCCGACTCTAAATCCGGGAACGCCAGCACCAAGCCCAGCCGCAGCCCCTGCAGAGAGATGGTAGTGGGGTGGCAGCAGCAGCAGAGGGTGGCCCTATGGAGGTGTCCTGCCCAGGGAGCTGACTCAGGCCCCGAGGGACGAGGCCCAGACTCAGGCCACGGCCTCCTACCTGGCCTTGCCCCTTAATCCTTTCTCTCTGCTGCCACCAGAATGGTCTTCCTAAAACTCTCCCTGGCCGCTGAGTCTGGCCCCCTACCCGGGCTGGCACTTGGTGCTGCATGCGTGGACACCACTTCCCTTCCCAGGTTGACGTCCTACTCTTCCCTCTTGCATGAATTCATTATTCTCCTAACCACCTTCTGTGCTCACACTTGACGCACGAGGACAGGGAAACTCAGAGGTCACTCAGCTAGCGGGATCCACGACTCGAACCCAGGTCTCCCTCACACCAGTGCTGTGCCTCCAACCCCTCTGCCTGCTGCCCTGGGGACCTAAGGAGGCTGCAGGGGGCCAGGCTCAGGGTCGGGAGGCAGGGCTGGCCCTGGGCTCGCTGGGGAGAGGAGAGGGAGATGGCAGGGCACTCACGGAACTGGGCTTTGGCAGCCGCCTTAGCAGCAGTTTTGGCTGCAGCTGGGACCCCTATCCCTGCAGGGAGAGAGGGAGTTCAGGATGGTACCCACAGAGGCTTCAGGTGCCCCACAGGCCCACTTACTCATGGAGCTCACCTGCAACACCACCAGGACCGATGCCGACGCCTGGTGCCACGCCGACCCCAGGAACCACTCCAGGTGTCACGCCGGCCCCAGGAACCACACCAGGTGCCACACCAACCCCGGGAACCACTCCAGGTGCCACGCCAACCCCGGGGGCCAACCCTACAAGAGTGAGAATAGTTAATCCTTAGCCAAGGCCTGACCAAAGAGGACAGAAGCTGGTGGGAAGAGTGCTGGGTGGGAGTCAGAAGACTTGGGTTCTTGTCCCAGCCCTGGCACAGGCTTGCTGGCGACCCAGGACCAGTTACTGTCCCTGGACGGGCCTGCGCTTCCTCATCCCTGATAGGAGGTACGTGCAGGGTCAGGAGTTCTTAACCTTTTGAGGAATAAGGACACCCCTTGGAACTTGAGGGTGATGGAGTCAGAGTGACATAAAAGGAGCTGGGCAAAGCGGGTGGACCTGGTTTCTAATCTCAGCTTGGCCACTGTTTAGCTGTGTGACTGTTACTTAAGCTGTGGGAACCTCGGTTTCCACATCTGTAAAACGGGAATAATAATAATACTAACTTCATAAGGCTGTTGTGTATGTGAGTGTGGGGTGTCAGCAGACCTAAAGTTAAGACATTATCTGGCCTTTTCAGCCCTGGAGATTCTGATCTGAACCTTGCTCCCTGCAGGGTCCTAAAGCCAAGGCCCGCAGACCCCCCGGCCAGGTCTGGAGCACAGTTGAGTTTTACTAGTGGGGCTGCCATGATTTGCCATGGTCAGGAAAGTGTGAGCACCTGGGGTCGCCAGGGTGCGCCTCAGATGTAGCAAGAGTTGGGGAACTTTGTCATGGGGCAAGAACTGCTTCTGTCACTTGAGGGGGTTGAAGCTGGGAGGAGCCCAGCATGAGGTCCAGGAGGAAGGCAGGTCCTGTTGGACAGAGAGGCACCAGGGGCTTCGGAAACGAGGGAAGTCAGGTCCTGAAAGGCTCATGAAAGCCTCTTCTCACTCTGGTTCCCCAATCACAAATGTCACCCACACCCTTAAAGGTGATCAGATGGGCCAAAGGCTGGGAGGAAGGCCTGCACGCATAAGGTGACAGCCTGAGCGGGCTGGAGAGGCGAGGGGAGCTAGGCGGCCAGACCCCAGGGCACAGCATGAGGGAGCGATGCTCTGTGATGAGGTACGGGAGCAGATGGCAGGGGACGCTTACCAAACTGGGCAGCTTTGGCGGCTGCTTTGGCGGCTGCAGCTGCTGGGGCCCCTACTCCTGGAGGGGTGAAGAGAGGGGTTGGGGGAGCAGTCCCTAGCACCCCGCTCCACTCTCCCCCATCCCCCACTGTGGAAAGCCCTCTCAGATACCCCTCTAGGGAGCTGTCCCCCTCCCGGGAGTCCCTCTCTGTGCACTGTCCCCTCATGCTCGTGACAGAGGAGTGTGCAGAGTCCAGCCTGAGGTGGGAGGCCTGGGCTCCAGACCTGGCTCAGGGATTACCCACTAGCATCGGGGCACCTCCCTCCCCCTCCTTGGGCTTCTGGATGCACCTGAGAAGCAGGTCTGAGCCTGTGAAATTCTAGCCCTGGGCTATGGTGGAAGGGAGCCCAGAGCTGTGATGGGGAGGGGTGTACCGACCCCCTCCTAAACCCAGGTCTAAAAGATTGTGGAGCCTTCCGCTTAGGGTGTTCTTCGTTTAAAAAAATCCTATAGACCTATATCAAAAACTATTGGAGGAAATGGCTCATTTCTTGAGGAAATTCAGAAGGGGAATTTTCTCCCAGAAAGCAAAAGGAATGCAGAGGAGAAGTCTTCTGATGGGAAGGTTGTCACCTAATGTCATGGTCACTTAATCCCTTCCCTTTGGCCTCCAACTGGTGATGGGGAAAGAGCACAAGGGAACCCCCTATTAAGGAACCAGAAGGGCCCCCCGCAAGCCAGCAGGGCAGAGCTCTGGCTGACGCTCCTGATCCTCCCCAGGCGGGGACGGTGCTTGCCAGGTCTCAGCCACCAGAACCCCGCGGGGGCTTCTCCCTCCACACTGCTCTAGGGGAAACCGCGCTCCCTCCTCCCCATCTCTGGGTGGGGACGGTGCTTGCCAGGTCTCAGCCACCAGAACCCCACGGGGGCTTCTCCCTCCACACTGCTCTAGGGGAAACCGCGCTCCCTCCTCCCCATCTCTGGGCTCAGTCTTCCCATTTGTAAAATGATGTGGTTGACCTCAGTCAACTTCAGGGCCCCTCCCATGAGACAAACCAAACCCATCTCTGGGTTGGGGATCCAGCTCACCTGGTACCCCTCCAATGCCCGGCACGCCTGGCACTGCGCCTCCTGGCACCAGCCCTCCTAGGGCTCCGACTCCTCCGGGACCTGGAGGAGTGAAGAACGTCCAGCCCTGTCCCTCCCTGTGCCCACTCTTGGGGGAGCAGGGGGCAGGGGGAGGAAACAATGGCTGCCTGGCACCTTCCCCTCACTAGTTTGGGGTGGAGGTGACAAGCGGGGCACCAATAACCCCAACAGTGGGCAACCAAAAAGGGCAGAAGAGTTGGAAGACAGGGGCCGGGGACTCACAACAGGGGCTGGGGACTTGTGACCTTGCCCAGGCCATTTTAGCCCTGGAGGCCTGAGTGTGAGGTTCTCTGTGCTCATGCTGGAGAGCTGCTGTGAGCTTGGAGCCTGGGCCCCATGGAGAGCAGGGCCTGCGGACAGACGGGCGGGGCACTTACCATACTTGGCAGCTTTGGCGGCAGCTGCTGCCTGGGCTGCAGCTACAAGGAAATGAGAAAGAAAGAGACCCTCAGAAACCTCACCTGGATTTCAGGTGGGTTATGCTTAAGGCTCTCCTGCCCCGAAAGGTACTGAAGGCCTCCCTGCTCCATCCCCCAACTCCTCCTTGAGCACATTGAAGTCTAATCTACACTCCCCACACCCCCTGCACAGCCTGACAGAAGAGAAGACCCCAGCCCGTCCCAGTTTCCCCAGATGGAACTAAAGCTCACGGGAAATACCAGCTCCGGGGACAGCTCCGACACCAAAGCCAGGAAGGCCCCCCACACCAGCCCCAAAAGTGGGAATGCCTCCAACACCGACTCCAACTCCGGCCCCTGCAAAGGGAAGAGAACTGAGTGGAAAAGGACCTCCGTGAGAGTACCTGGGAGGGCTCTGGGGGAAGCTGGCTGGCAGAGGAAGGGCTGCAAGCTTTCCCAAGTCTGGTCCATGAAGGTCAGGAAACGATGGTGCGTCTGGGCCCCCAGCCAGCCTCTGCCACAAAGCCTTTACTGACACCCCCAGCCCTCCCCCAACTCCTCTCTTCTCTGAGCACTCAGGGAAAGATCTTTGTTGGATATGGAGAGACTGTGGGCAGGTCTCATATCCCCAGGCAGGCTTGGGTTCCTCTGAGAGGGCTCTGGCCAGGGTAGGGAGGGTCAGAGTCACTGTCCCCACTGGGGATGCCATCCTGGGACTCTCCTGCCATTCAGCCCTGTGACCTCATGGTGGGAAGCAACTAGGGGAGACGCTGTCCTGGGGCCCACCAGGTCCAAGTCCTAGCACTGCTAGTGACTTGCTCTGTGACTGTGGGCAAGTCACTCCCCTTCTCTGAGCAAGCAGGTGAGAGTCGTTTAGTTCTGACAAGTAAAGGCCAAACAGGGTGGGCAGAGCTCTCAGCACGGCACTTACCATATTTGGCTGCTTTAGCAGCTGCAGCTGGTGATACAGCCCCTGGAGAGACCAAGGGGGACACGAATGCTCAGGAGAGAATGGAGGAGAGATGTTCAATATATATCCCTCTGTCCACCCATCTGTCTGTTAGTCCATCTTCTTTCTACCTATCAAGCCAACATAGGGTCATCCGCCCCTCCATTGACCCATCTGTTTATTGTCTCCTCAACCGTCCACCCACTGCCAACCTCTATGTCTGTCCATTTGTCTGTCTGTCCTTGTACCTCAATCCACCACTTAAATGCCTAACTCTGTCCATCTATGCACCCACCTCTCCATCAACTAACCCACCCATCTGCCTGTCTATCCATTGATCTAACCATCCATCCGACCGTCCACCCTTCCACCCACTCATCTCTTCATCAGCTCAACCAATCTTGTGCCCGCCCATCCACCCACCCATCCATCCTTTTAACCACTTATCTAGTCTCCCACCTGCCTACCCATCAGTCTTTCCACCTACCTGTTCACCGATACATCCACCTTTTTACCATCCATCTGTCCATGTATCCACCCGTCGTTGTATCTGCCCATTCATCCACCTACCCACCCACTCCCTCATGCATCAGTTGAGTGCATCCATATGGCCACTCACCTGCCCACCCAGCTGTCCATCTGCCCATCAATCGATACACCCACGCATCCACCCACCTTCCCACCCATCTATCCACGATTTGCTGAACACCTACTCAGCTAGGAACTGGGAACATAGAGATGGAAAAGACATGATTCCCGCCCCCAGGAGTACACTGACAGCCAGAGGTAAATTGGAGAAGACGATACTGGTAGTAGCTAATAAGAAGGTTGTTATAGCCCAAGGGAGAAAGGACAAGGGTGTGAGTCATGGTCAAGGGTATGGACAGATGGGTGACGTATAAGGGAGAATACATAAGTCTTGGCAATAGTCTCAATATTTCTCTCTCTCTCTCTCTCTCTCTCTCTCTCTCTCTCTCTCTCTCTACATAAGTCTTGGCAATAGTCTCAATATTTCTCTCTCTCTCTCTCTCACACACACACACACACACACACACACACACACACACACACACACACACACACACACCCAGAAAGCCCAGCTCACCTGGGACTCCGATGCCTGGGACTCCAACGCCTGGGACTCCAACACCTGGGACTCCAACACCTGGGACTCCAACACCTGGGACTCCAACACCTGGGACTCCAACACCTGGGACTCCAACGCCTGGGACTCCAACACCTGGGACTCCAACACCTGGGACTCCAACACCTGGGACTCCAACACCTGGGACTCCCACACCTGGGACTCCGACTCCTGGGACTCCCACACCTGGGACTCCGACTCCTGGGACTCCCACACCTGGGACTCCGACTCCTGGGACTCCCACACCTGGGACTCCGACTCCTGGGACTCCCACACCTGGGACTCCGACTCCTGGGACTCCCACACCTGGGACTCCGATTCCTGGGACTCTGACTCCTGGGACTCCGACTCCTGGGACCCCAACTCCTGGGACCCCGACTCCTGGGACCCCAGCTACTCCCGGGACCAAGGCTCCAGGAGCTCCTGTAGAAGGAAAACGATTGTTTTGTCCTGAACCCTATGGGAACCTCAGAAGGACAGTGGTTCAGGGAAGCTACAAGAGTGACAATTGGTCCTGAGTGCAGGATTCCAGGTGAGGTAGCGTTTCCTTTGCATGGATCCAACTCATCAGAGAGATAGAAGGGACTTAGGGAGTCCCTAAAGAGCTCAAAGGGGTTGGACCTGTGGGCTGGGAAGAACATGGTCTGTTTCTAAAGCCAAGTCAGATTCTCGCCACTGGGTTCCCAGGCAGTCAATGCAGCAGATGCCTGTGGCTGGCCCTGGGGAGGATGAAGTGGGGGAGACAGGTGCTCCACAGAGTCCCCCTCCCTCTGCTGAGTTTATCAGTGGGAGATAGCACCCAGGTAGAGTGACCAGATGGGCAAGACATGGAGGTACGAGCAGTGTGTGTTTGGGGAGGGGGTAGGGAGGCCTCCGTAGATGGACAAAGGCCCAGTCCACCAGCTTGTAGGATTGGGGTTCCCAAGGCCCATGCAGAGTCCAGGGCAGCCCTGAGCCCTGAGCCTGCCACCCAGGGGCACTCACCATACTTGGCTGCCTTCGCAGCAGCAGCAGCAGCAGCAGCAGCAGCAGCAGCAGCAGCAGCAGCAGCAGCAGCAGCAGCAGCAGCAGCAGCAGCAGCAGCAGCAGCAGCAGCAGCGGAAAGAGGAGGGGTGAGACTGAAACCGGTGCTCCTGCACCTCCAGAGCCCGCCTGCTCCAGTTCTCTGACACACGGGTGTGGATGGGGGCTTCACAGCAGGTAGAGGCTGACAGAGCCATCCCACCTCAGTCCTTCCCCAGGTTCAGACCACAGTCTGGATACAGGGGGGCTGGTCTACTTTCTGAGCCTGGGTGGCCCTGGCTGGAAGTGGGGTGAGCCTTTCCTTACCTGTCCCTGTTGGGTAGCCGGCCTTGCCCGCAGCACCAGCCACTCCTCCGGGCCCAAAGCCTGCAGAATGGAGGGGCCTGGCGGTCACCCATGTGGACTTCCCCACTTCTGCCCCCTGCCCTTCAGGGCCGGGTGTCCTGAGTCTCCACCCTGTCACCCCCAGCCAGAGTGAGAACAAATGCAAACATGTGTGTGGGACTGTCATTCCCATTGTACAGATGAGGACACTGAGACTGAGAGAAGAAAAATGGCTCAACAAGTCCGCGTGGTAAGTGGGAGGGCCAGGCTGTCTGAGTCCAAGTTCCAGCTCTTTCATTTGGGGACTTCCATTCCAAGACCCCACCCCTCCCCCAGCTAGGTGCTCTCCTAGCCCAGGGCTGGACCACAGCACCCTTGCCGGGACCTGGAGCTGGAAAGAGCTGGAGGTCCACAAGTCTAGGAGGCCCCACTCACCGTAGGGCAGTTTCCCGGTGCTGTAGGGCAGTCCGTAGCCGCCTGAGGAGAGGGCAGGGCGAGCTCAGGGGCTGCTATGGGGCTGCAGAGGCCCTAGGTGGGAGGCGGGGAGGGAGGACACCCCTGCCCCAGCGCCTGATGACACACCCATCCCCCTGCAAATCCAGGCCCCACTGTGGCCTTAGAGTCTGAGTATATTTTTTCTGTTTCCTCCCCAATGGGAAGCATCTCACTGTCTGAGCTGGCTGTGGAGGTAAGGGTGGGGGTGCCGGTGGGTTGATGTCAGAGGGGTCTTTCCAATGAATGGCATTTCTCACCATCAAGACAAGTGTCTTCCCATCAGGCCTACGGGTCTCTGTGCACGTGTGTGTGTATGTGTGTTTGCTTGTGTGTGCATGCCAGTGAGTCTGCATCTGTGAGACTGACATCCCCACACTTTCCGTGGTGTGTGTGTGTATGTGTGTGTGCTTGTGTGTGCATGCCAGTGAGTCTGCATCTGTGAGACTGACATCCCCACACTTTCCGTGGCTGGTGACCAGAAGTGGGCTTCAATACCCAGGTTTCCCACCCTTGACCCCCTCAGGCTGCCTTCTCAGCCTCTTAAATCCTCCCTCTGACTTACCTGGCAGCTTGGGTGCCTTGATGGGGTACCCCAGTGGGACTCCAGGCTGCTGGCCCCCAAAGGGTCCAACCCCTATGGGAACAAAGAGAGCACTATCAGTTTCCAGTTCCTTGGGCCAGCAGCCACCTCTACACCCTCAGCCTCACGCCCCACTTCCTGCTCAGACAGAAGGAGCTCCCCACTGCACCAGAGACCATCCTGCCTAGGGGTCTTCCCTGTCTCCTCCTGACCCCCGACCCCAGTGACCAGCCACTTCTTTCAGGAACCTGCAGGACTCTCTCCCTCCTAGAGGCTTGCAGCCCTGGCACAGACTGGTGGGTTTTCTGGGCTTGTCTGGGCTGCTACACAGATGGGGATTGGGGTGGAGGAGCAGGCCTGAATTGGTGCTACTTGGTGCTGAAGCCTGTCCAAGGCCTGGAGCAGAAGGCAGGAGGGAGATTGGGCAGGCCTGGGTGGGGTTCTGGGTGCCCAGCCCCTCCTAGGGCAAGAGCCCCTGCCAGGCTGGCCACCCTGCAGACCCTCCCACCCACCTGGGAGGGCCAGCCTTGCCTCACCTGGGATTCCGGCAAAAGCTCCACCTCCACCTGCGATGAAAAAGAGCTGTCACTGCAGTCCTGGCAGCATGGGCCCAGGGCACAGAGGTGCCACGGTCTGGTGCCAGGCAGCACCGAGGGGCGGGCAGGCCCGAGCAGCGGCCAGTTCTGCCCAGACCACCGGCTCCTGCAGCCCTCCCACACACTCTGGGATTTCTGAGCAGTGCCCTGCCTGTCTCAACCAGCTGTACCAGAGCTGGAGCACAAGAGGTGCCCACCCAGAAGGTCCCAAGCCAGCCCAGCATCCCAACCCCTAATCTACACCCAAGGCCAAAGGGATCTGCAGGTGGGGAGAGAGCCCCCCCCCACGGCCCCCAGCCCAGCTGGCTGCATACCTGGGACCTTGGGCTTGACTCCTGCTCCAGTGGGAACCCCAGGGAGCACCCCCACACCAGGGAACCGAGCTCCTAAGTGGGCAGAGAGGGATCCGGCAGTGAGGGAGTGAGGTGGCCCTGGCAGGCCCAGCTTGGCTCCCTTCCTCGGGTCCCGCAGCTGATCTCAGTACTGACTGTCAGAGACAGGTACGGCCCAGAGGGTGGGCAGAGAAAGACCTGTTTGGTGATGACTTTCCTCCCTGCCTGGCCCAAGGTCAGAAGATCTGAGTTTTAATCCTATTTGCCGGCCTCGTGAGCTGGTGCCCCAGTTGGCCTCATCTTTGAACTGGATTTAATCACAAACGCTGTCCTGACCACCCTCGGCAGACAGGGCAAGGGGGTAAGCTCAAGTGTGCAGTGGGCCATGCCTGCAGGCCAGGGAGCCTGTGCCCTGGGCTCTCACGGTACAGCTCACAACGTGGCCCCCAGGCAGCCATCCAGCTGCAGCCGGGAGCCCATCTGCCAGAGCCTCCTGCATTCAGGCCTCCCCTGGGGCTGGGTGCCTGGGCTGGGCGTGGCAGGGGGAGGGAGGGCCCTTCTGTCAGCAAGCCCTGCAGAGCAGCCTTGATCTGGGCTTTTGGGGGAATTCTGGAGGTCACATGTTGGGTGGGGTGGGCAGGTCCTGGCAGGGAAAGGAGGGTGAAGGGGCAGCTCTTAGGGGTCTCCTGCAGGGTGGACTTGTTGGGCGGGCCCCCTGGTGACTCACAGCTTTTGGGAAACAGCTGGCCACACTGGGGATTCAGTCTGTCCATGGGGACCCGCCTCAGGCTGTGATGATGGTCTGGGCCTGGGGTCAGGGTTTGGGTGGGGCCGGGGCAAGCTGACTAACCCTGGGGGGAAAGACGCCAGGGACCTTAGGTCCATTAGCCTGAACTCTGACACTGAGGGAAACAGCACTGGGCAGGACCCAAGGCCTCTGGTGGCCTCTGCTTGGGGGGTGGGGGGAAGAGAGGGGGCACCAGGAAGGCTGATGGGGCTGCTTTTCTTCCTATAGGGCCCCTTCTCCTCCTCGCCCTCACCTGTGCCTGGGAGCACTCCACCTGGATATACTCCTGGGAGCCCCACACCTGCGGCCAAAAGAAGAAGGAGGCACCATGAGCAGCAGCTCAGCCTCCAGGGACCCCTCCCCAGCCTTTCCCACACCGGCAGCTCCACGGATCCTGAACCAGCAGCCCCTGTGCCCGACGGGGACAGCCAGGGACAGACGGGTGGCCGCAGCCTTCCTCCCACAAGTTTCGGAAGTCCTCTGCAAACCCTTCTTCTGTGTGTGGATTTATCTCCATCTCCTGGAGCCTGTTTACACAGCCGGGCCAGCCCACCTCTGGCTAACAGCTTCCAGATGTCCCCTCCCTGCTGTGTGGACTCAGGCAGCCTTTTGTTTAACCCAAAGTCACTTCCTAAAGGGCTTGGCACAGCCGAATGAGCACCAGATGGGCTGGGCTCCCCGCAGCTCCGCCATGATCAGCCACAGGCCCTTCCACACTGACTTGCCATTCTGAGCCTCAGTTTCCCCATTTGTCTTCCAACAGCCTGCCACAGAGCCTGTCTCTGAGGTCTCTTTCTGCTCCAAGATCCTGGGAGAAGGGCCTGGAAGGTAAGCCAGGTTCCCCCATTTTACAGACGCAGGACCATGTCTGGGTCTGGCTAGTGGCCCTGCCCGCTGCAGCCAGGTCCGCCCTTCCTTCCCCAGTCTGACCTCTCTGACCTCTGCCCTCCAGCCCCAGGGATTCCACACTGACCGGGCACTTTTCCAGGTTTTGCTCCAGCTCCAACTCCAACTCCCGCACCAGGCACCACCACACCTACTACGGAAGGGGCCTCATCAGAGTTAGCTACCCCTGGGCCTGCAGCCTTCACCTAGGGAGCTCAGGTCAAGCACCATACCTGGAGGCACTCCTAAGCCGTCGACTGCACGGACACCACCAACACCAACGCCACCAACACCTATAGAGCCAGCAGTTAAAGAGGTGAGGGATCATATCAGGAACAGTGGAAGGAGGAAGGTCCCTGGACTGCACATTGAGGTCTGGCCCTGCCACCAGCTCCCTTTGAGAATGGGCACAGCTAGCTGCCTCCCAAGCCTCACAAACATCTTAGCAAGGAGGCTCCTGGACTGCAGGGCAGGCTGGACAGAAGGACAGACAGATGGTGGGGGACAGAGGGGAGATGAGCATCTTGCCCACCTGCCTCCCAGGCCTAGGGGAGGGAAGGTTCTTTGCAAGGAGGAGAACACATGGAAGCCAGAGGGCTTATGGCATGTCCCAAAGAGTGCCACTCACCGGCCTTGGCAGCTTTGTAGGCTGCAGCGGCACCGGCAACTCCACCAGGCACCACAGCACCTGGGAAGGCTCCTGCAGGGAAGGCACCGAGCCCTGCAGAGGGGAGGACACGGTGAAGTCCTGAGCCTCCGCACCCGTGGAGGCTCCTATGTCCCAGCCCCACCTCACCCTGCCCCACTCGAGAAGCACATTCAAGGCTCCTCTGCTCTTTGCAGGACTCCAGTGCCAAGCAGCGACTGCTGCCCACCAGAACAAGAGTCAGCGTTGGAGGTTAATGTACCAGACCACTCTGCTCAGCCTGACAAAACCGCACATGTCTTTTGGTGTCAAACTTTGACACCCACCTCCTCCAGGATGCCTTCCTGGGCCCTGGCTGAGCTGAGTGACTCCTCTGAGCTCCTTTGGCCCCTGGAACTTGCTGCCCCCAGCCCTCATCACTACATTGTAACTGTACTCAGTTACTCAGCTGTGATTCCCTCATGCTTGGGGCAGCTGTTTGGGGCAAGTGTTAGAGTCCCCTATCAGTGCCCAGATAGAATCTGACCTGTACCCCTGTATTCCGACTGCCCTCCACACCAAGCAGATGCTTGGGTTGGGCTCAGGGATTGGGAGTCAGCACTAACCTGCCCCAGGGACAACGCCTGCGAGCCCTCCAGGACCTGCAGGGAGGAGACAGAAAACAGGTGAGGAGAGGCTGTGGTGTGGGCATCATTCCTGGGCCCAGGGTGAGAAGGGTCTCATGGAGCGGGGGCAGGAACCTGGCAGTGCTGGGATCAGCGTGCAGCCACTTGGGTCCCTCAGACTTTGGCACTCAGGGGCATCGATCTTGATAAAATAGCAGCCACTGTTTAGTGACCAACTACTACGTGTGGTGCCGTGTAGACGTGATTGCGCTGACACTCCTTAACAAGACTTGGCCAGGCCTGGATTTCTTCTAGAAGGTCTGCCAGCTAACAGGATCCAGCAGGGCTTTCTGTGAGCGCTGGAGCTGAGCAGAGTCTGTGAGCAAGACCTCACCCAAGCCAGGCCCTGCCCTGATCCCACCCTAGTCACTGCCACCACCCCAGGCCTCTGCTCTGCTTCCTGAAAATGTCCCCTGACTCAGCCTCTCCCCTTCACTTGTTTCTGGGAGCCCCTCTGTTCCCCACCATCTGTCTGTCCTTCTGTCCAGCCTGCCCTGCAGTCCAGGAGCCTCTTTGCTAAGATGTTTATGAGACACCAAATGGGTCCCTCTGGCTTCTACCTCTAGGCCCAATTGCTCCTTCTCCCCCTCCAAGACACATTCCTTGGCCTCGGCCAGGACCGATGGGCAATCAGGTTGGAGTTCACCTAAGATGTTTATGAGACACCAAATGGGTCCCTCTGGCTTCTACCTCTAGGCCCAATTGCTCCTTCTTCCCCTCCAAGACACATTCCTTGGCCTCGGCCAGGACCGATGGGCAATCAGGTTGGAGTTCACACCATGCCAGTTTGTTTCCAGTTACATGAGACTCACTCCTGCAAACACCAGTCCTGGCTGCTGGGGTCCCGAGGCCCAAGGATGAGCTCTCTCCAGGGACCAACCCCAAACATGGGGCCTGCTGAGCCCCGGAGGGGTCTACCTGAAAGTGATCTCCTCCCTCACCATCCCTCCCCGCTCATCTCCTACTTCTGTGGCCTGGACCTGGCTGAAGCTCAGTCAACCCTTCTGCTGGATGGGGCTCTCACTCCAGGCAGGCGGGAGTGGTATGGTGGTCAGGAGGGCCTGGGCCCTGCTGGTGCACTTCCCAACACTACAGGTCCTGCCACTCCCCAGTCTGTCAGCAGCTTCTCTCAAGCCAGGCCTGTTTCCTGAGCTCCGAGAGGGTAGGGGACACACTCAAACCTTTCCTGAAGCTGGGGACTGAACAGGAAGCAAGAAGGCGCTGGGGCAGGGCCTGAGGGGAGCCCTTCTGCAGTCATCTGCCCTTTTCTCAGGGTCCCACCTTCTGGCATGACCAGTTCCTCCCCCAACCCCCTTGCCCTCCTTTCTTTTGGCTCACCTGCTCCAAATGCCCCGAGGGCTCCAGCACCTGCAAAGGAGGAGAAAGCAGGGAGAAGCTGACCACAGCTGGGAGTCTGGGAACCCAGCCAGCCCAACCCTCTTTCTTTCTGGAGTCAGAGTTCTGGATTCAGATCCCGCTGCCCCGACCCACTCTCTGTGTGTATGAGCAAGTCATTTCACCTCTCTGAGTCTCAGTTTCCCCATATACAAAGTGGCCATTACATCCCCCGCCATCCGGGGACCAGTGAGCAGAAAGCACCTGGTGTGTGCAACTTGCCAGGGCACCTGGTGGGTGCTCCCCGGCTCCTTCTGGTCCTTGCTTGCGTGCCTCGTGGTGGGAGGGTGGCCTCCAGCTAGTGCTCAGGGTGTGGGTAGTACAGGCTCCCAGCTGCCTGGTCCCCCGCTGAGAGCTGAGGCAGGGTGGGGCCAGTCCCAGAGCCAGCTAGCCTGCCCACTGCTGGCGCCCACATGGAGGCGCAGCTGCCAGGCCACCCACCCTCCATCACCAAGGGATTAATTGTTCCCGAGCACACACACGCTCCCTGTGCCCCAGTCCATCCTGCATGGACAGGCCCGGATGGCCCCCTGGCCCGGATGTGGGGAGCTTCCCTGGGGGTGCCACTGTGGCTCTGCCAAGGCCTTTGTAGCCCTGAGTCCTGAGGCTGAAAGATGACCTCACAGGGGTCATAGAATCTGGCCCCCTGCCTGGGGACAGTGACCTTTTCCTCCGGAGGAGATGCCCTGACTTTCCTTTTGGTCTAAGTCTTCACCCTGAGCTGGAAGTTCTTTCAGAAGACTAGCCTAAATCTTTCATTAATAAAAGCTTCACTTAAGCAGCCAAACTTCATGGGACTCTATTAAATTGTCTCAGTCTTCCCTCCAGTGTTTAATCACAACCTGCCATGTGTTCCCTGCTGCCAGTAGGATCAATCAATGCACCCTCTAGCTATGCAGTCATGACCTCCATGACTGGGGTCTTCTGGGCCAGCACATTCCTGCCTCCATACCTTCTCTTGTCTAGCCCTCCCTGTATTCTCTCCACCATCAAAGACCCCACCGAGATCCCTCACCCTCCAGGAAGACAGGATGCAGGTTCTGCTAGGGAGAAGCAGTAAGCCCCAAGGTCTCCTTGCCTCGCAGACCCTTGCAGACCCCAGCAACCCCATGGCCTGGGCACCCTGCCTCCGCCTCCCTTGCCTGGCCCCAGTCCTGGAGTTTCACAACCCAGATGGGCTTTCAGTGGAGGGATCTGGGTCTTGCAGATTCATTTGCACTTGGATCATTGACCATCAGGATTTCGTAAGAGCTGTTGGACATCCAAACTGTGTCCTAGAGCCTCGGGCCTCAGAGCCAGGCGACACAGTGCAGGGTGGGGACACGCCAAGGCCACATGTGGAGCATCTCATGCCGAGAGGCCTTAAGTCCAGACAGAGATGCCGTTTCCTCCACCTGCTCCTTATCTACCAGTGTCTGCTGAAGGGATCCACTTCCTCTCCTTCCTGGGGTGCATATCCTGGAGCTGATAGTAAACCCCGGTGGCAGATCCCAGCCCCATGGGTGAGGCCAGTATAGATCCAGCCACACCTTCTTCCTGGAAAACTCCATGGTCTGAACACAGCTGGAAGAGCCTGGGATCAGAAAGGGAACTCATCTGGGGCCAGGATCAGTACTCAGCCTGGGGTTAAGCTCAAGGCTTAGTCTGGGGTCTGGGTTCAGCCTGGGACCAGTGCTCAGTCTGGGATCTGGATAAAGGCTCAGACTGGCATCAAGGTCAGGGCTATCTGGGGTCTTAGCCTGGGCTTAGGCTCTGTGTCTCAGCCCCAGAGTGCTGTTTTCCAGGCTTGGTGGCCACTAGAACATTAATCACTACCTTAGCTTCCAGCAGCAGGGCTGTTTCTGAGACCCTGTGCAGAGGGGAGTCTCCAGGCAGCTGGGCACATAGGCACTTGCAAGGTAGATGCTGGACTCTCCTCACAAATGGGGGACATTGAGCTGCCTCCAGCCTCCTGTTACTTGAGGGCCTGGTGCCCGGCCGGGCCTGCTGATCCCCAGGGAGCGGCCCACACCTCCCTCTCTCCTCCCGCCTCTTGGCTCCCTTGCCTGGTTCACAGATCTGCAGGCCCTTCCCTCCCAGGGCCCTTTGCCCTCTCTCAGCACCCTGAGGCCTCGGGTCTTACCTGGCTGGGCTCTTACCTGTCTTGAGTGGTTTGCCTCCAGGCCCCAGTGCTGCAGAGGAGAGAGATGGAAGTGAATAGGGAGCCCAGCCCACCTGTCCTATCAATTATACACCCCCGCCCGCCCAGGCAGAGCAAAGGCATCTGAGGTTTCCTGCCCCAGGTCCTAAAGGGCTGTCAGGGTGGGTCCTTCCCCCACACTCAGAGCTGCTGGGAGCTCTGCTGTGCCCTGATTTGTGGTTTATGCTCTCTGAGCCCCAGTTTCCCAACCTCAAAAGGGAACGATGATATCCACGCAGCTGGTTTGGAGGGATATTTTTGAGGAACAAAAGAAATATAAAGAATTCAGGGGCCCAGAGAAAGAGCCTAGGGGGAGGGGCTCGGGAGGCCAGTGGGTGCTGGTGCTCAGACACCTCCCTTGCCCCTGGATGCTCAATCTGTAAGGGACACTTGATTCTTGGGCCTCTTGAGGTTCTCAGGTCTGAGGCTGTGTGTGGTTGGGTGACGACCAGACCCCTCCAGTGAGGAAGCAAGTTTGGTTTCCGAGCTCACCTCCTCCTCCCAGGGCTCCAAGACCAGCCCCTGTATTGAGACAGACAGACACAGAGAACCATCAGTGCCCCTGCAGACAGGCCACCCTTCTACCCATGGTCAAATCCATCACTGCCTAGCTCCGTGACCTTGGGCAAGTCTCAACCTCTGCGAGCCTCAGTTTCTTTGTCTGTTTCATTGGGCTAACAGCCCTGTGTCAGTTTGTGCCTGGGGGAGTGCTGGAAGATCCCACCATTTCCACGTTAGTTCTGAACACTCAAATACTTTATTTTCTTGGCAGCTGGACAGTATGGGGATCTGAAACCTTGACCTTGGTGTTATCAGCACCACACTCTATTGAGTGAGCCAACTGGCCAGCCCTCCGATACTTTTTAAGTACTGAAAATATTACTCTTGATTTTTCAATCTTCCTGAAAACATTATACTTTTTTTTTCTAAATTAAAAGAAAAAAATGACCCCCGATACTATTGTCCCAACATTCTTCCTAGTCTTTTTGGCGGGGGTGTGATTAGTAGTCTCCACATGCACATAGCAATTGCTTTTATTATTATCTTTACTTAAAAACATGTTGCCATTTTGCACAACAGGTGGCATATTCATACTTTGTCATAGCTGTCTAATGGTTCAGAGTTTACTTAATCGTGTAATCGAACCCTTCAGTCAGGTGGGTTTTTTGTTTTACAGTGTTTTGCAAATAATAGTCCTGTGACTTGTGGCAGATTGTTCTTCTTCTTTTTTTTTTTTTTCCCAATTACTTCCACTGAATGGGTTTCCAAGAGTGGGATTGATGGTTCAAGACTGTGAACCTTCTCACAGCAGGAGTGCGTGAGTGAAGACGCTAGCCTCACGACCTCGAGTTTCCTCTTTCAGAAAGTTTAGGCTCTTCACAGCTGTAAAACAGTGTCACATTAACTGCATTTTTTTTTCCTTTTTGTCTTTTTTCGTGACCGGCAACGGATCGCAACCCTCAGTGT